TCCCAGAAGCGGCTCTTCCCGGGCTGCGCTCGCCGGAGGAAGGGAGCTGCTCTGCAAACGGGCCGGCGCGTTCACAAGCCAGCGTGGCCACCGCGCTTTGGATATCTCTGGGAAGACGCGGGGCGTCAAATAGAAGCGAAGGGGCCGCCAGGCTCTTCCATGGTTTCCACCGCTTTTTAAAGGAACCCGTAAGGCCCGCGGAGGGAAGGAGGGAGGCAAATCCGTGCTAGTGAGCGACCGCTGGGAGTCAACGCGATGAGCAGCTGCTCTTGGAGGCTCTCCTTAAGTAAGGAAAGGCGCAGGATCTCGCCCAGGGACTGAAGAGCACGCTTTCAACTGGGGCAGGAACCGTGTGGGGTGGGTCTGGCCCCTAAGACCACTCAGCACCCCTTCCTTCGGTTTTTACCACTGCCTGATTCTCTACCGTCAGGGCTAAATTGCTGCCCCGTACAGACGAAGCCCGTCTAGATCAAGAGCCCTGAGCCCTGCCAAGACACACTCGGGCTGTTATTTGCTGAGTGTTTCCGGATGAGGCTTTTATTGTGCCCTGCTTCCCTCGTGAAACCATCCAAAGGGCGCCTTCCTCTCCTTGTAACCCTCCTGTGTTTTTTCCATCATTTTTCTTCTCTTCTGTGTCTCACCCCCTCTCCCCCTAAAATCAGTTTAAGGAGTCAAAAATCAGGGTCAGTATGGAGTGTCTTGTGACTGGTAGTGTCAGGAGCCCCTCTGTCTGGACGCCCCTTCTGTGCTAAGGAAAAAAGATGAAGAAAGTGGTGGGGGAAAAACAAGGATTACAAATGGGATCCAGAAGTTTCTAGATCGGTAGCCATCTTAGCTGTTGCCGGCGGTCACAGCGAAACCAAGAAGGCGCCCTGTAGCTCTTTAGGACAAGCAGGCTTAATTGGGTGTAAACATGGGTGGACTGCAGCTCATGTCTTTGGATGCGTGGAGTGTAGAAGTGGCCCACAGGCTGCCAAATCTTATGCCAGATAAAACTTTGTGGTCATTAAGGTGTCACAGAACTCTTTGTGGGCTTTGTAGAAACAGAGGGCAATGTCCTTTGGGATCCCACCTCCTTTTCATAAGGTCTGGCAGGTGGCACGGTAAAAACACGGTGTGGACACACCTGCCGGCTGGAGCAGGGCTTCTGGTCCAACTGTGGATACCGATGGTTGTTCCGTTTCAGAGCGAATGGATGGCATGGTCGCCCTGTATGTGTTGCAGTCATAGCATGATGGAGAGGGCCCATCACAGTATAGAAAGTGTTATAGGTAATGGTTGTCGTAGGTTTTTTGGGCTGTCTGGTGGTGTTCTTGAGGTTTTTCTTCCTAACGTTTTGCCAGTCTCTGTGGAAGTTATAGGTAACTTCCTCAGCAGGATAGAGTTTGAGCGGAACAGATTCATTTATGTTCGAAAAACCAAAAATGCTTTTTCAGCATTGTATTTGTGTTCGTATCAGATGGTGGGCACCGGAAACCTGGTCTCCCTTTGTTGTTTTGTGCTGTCAGGTTGCTTCCCACTTAGGGAGACAGTATGAATGTGGTGCCTTATTTGTTAAGATAGGTGCATATTAGGACTGAAATTTAATTCAGATTTGTTTGGCAATTAATCATGTGGCTTCTAGTCAATTAAATTTGCATAAAGAATAAAATTAAAAATTGTGAAGCACACTGATTTCCTTATTTTTAGAATGTGGCATGTGTTGTGTCACAGCAACCATATGCCAGTAGATGCAAGCATTCCCTCTGTTACAGTCTTCCAGGAGAAAAGCAGCAGGCTGGTGGTGGTAACGCTGATAGAGACTACTCATAATTTGTAAAAGTATCCATGTTTTTTTTCAAACTCTGCCAAATTAATTGATTGAATTAGTCATGAAAACCATAATCAACACATAAGAAGCTCTTAGTCAGACATGGTAGTGCTAATATTTTTATGGCTTCCATTAACTAATCCACAGGAACCGCTACTAATGTAATGAGCCAGGTCTGGGAAGACTTAAAGTTTAGGGAATTTACTTGGTTTTGGCCAAGAACTCCTAAATGGAGAGAAATACAAAATGGTAGTTCAGAAAGAGGTGTAGATGTAAATGTAGGGAGCATGTGAGAATAGAGCTTGTCTCAGCTGAGGGATTTCTTTTTAACAGGAGAAAAATCAATATTTTTTTCTCCCCATATGCCCCACTCTTGGGGTTTTGTTTTGTTTTGCCTGGTCTCAACAGCTTAATTTTGAAGGGGGGGGGAATTACTGCTCTTGTTAAGCAGTTGAAAATCAGAGATTCTTAATGACCTACTACAGATGTCACGAAGATCTAGCAGATCCTGACTGGCCCTCTGCCTACCCACAGTAAACAAATTCCTTCTTATCTCCATCTTTGATTTTGGATTGGGAGTTGTTGGCATGGATTAGTTATCCCTCAAATGAGTGTGTCTTGAAAGGATGAAAAATGGCCACTGTTTAACCACTTCTATTGTGCCTACAGCAGGAGAATTAAAGGTTATTAAAGGATAAACAAATCTAGGCTAAGTGATTTTAACTACATCCCCTGGATTCTATTTCTCATTCATAGAGGTAGATAAGAGCCACAGTGTTTTGCAACCTCTGAGTCATCATCTGGTTTGGTGTATAGCCCCAGGATAGTTCATCCAGACAGTAGGAACTTGGAGGGGGGGGGTTAGACAGAGAATAATTCAGTTATACTGTATATGCTTATTACAGAGCAATGCTTGTTTAAGCACATACTCAAATGTGCTGCAAAAGTAGCAGCAAGGGTTATAGCTTAATCTAATTTGCTTCTGATACTAGTAAATGAGTTTAGGGCATGCCATCCTGTCACCAAACCTAAGAACTATGCACTTCTACTTCAGATTGTACAAATATCATAGGCAGGTTTCTTTGCTTGCTCATATATTCCATTTTTATGTTGCCTTTCTCTTAGTGAAGGGATCCAAGATAGCTCACAAATTATAAAAAAAATTCGTGACTAAAACCACAATAAATCATTGCCTTAAAAACAATTAAGCATACAATAGTTTCAAAATGATTATTCAAAAACCATTAAAAACAGTTTAAAAACACTTGAAAATCCACACAAAAATAATGTCCAGCACCAAGGTCAAAACTGCCCTGCCCAATTAAGCAGGTCTGCAAGTGCTTAATTAAGAGAGAGGGGGCTGACCGAACCTCCTGAAGGAGAGCATTACACAACCTGGGAGCCCCCACAGAAAAGGCCCTCTTTTGTGTCCTCATCAAACCCGTCTGTGATGGCAATGGGAGCAAGAGAAGGGCCGCCTCTGAAGATCTCAAGAACTGGGCATGTTAATATGAGGAGATATGGTCCTTCCCATTGCCTGGACCTAAACTGTATAGGGATTTAAAGTCAGAATTTGCACTTTGAATTTGGCTCAGAAACAGATCGGCAGTCAACGAAGCTGCTCTAACAGAAGAGTTGGATGCTTCCTCTAGCCAGCCATGGTCAGTCTTTTGGTTGGGGGTGGGGAAGAAAGAGAGGGTATCTGCTTTACTGTATTATGGTTAGTGAAAAATATCCTGAATTAGTGAGACAGCTGTTGATTTCCTCCAGAATTCTCCTTCAAGCAGGTGAACCAGAACTTCACACTCGTCCTCCAAAACAATTCTTTATGCAGAATGACTTGGAAGCCTCAGGATGGATTAGTTTAGGATACTAAGAGGGATGGATGGCGGGGACTTACCCCAGAGTTAGGGAAAGCTACTGTGAAACTACAAATCCCAGAATATCTTAGCTGAACATGCTAGAAAAGCTGCTTTGGGACTTCAAGACCCTTCCCTGTGAGCGTAATCAGTGGACAGAAATCATGAGACCTGAGTCCAAATCTCTGCTTGCCCATAGAAAACTCACTGGGGAAATCCTTGAATATCTCACATACTTCCAAAACCTTACTAGTATTGTAGGCGACTTGATGGCACATAAACAGCAACATGAGGCAGCAGATTTACAAGCTTGTGAATGGAGTGTCAGTGATGTTCTGAAGACCAACAACGTAATCCCGTACACACTTACTCAAGATGAGAACCCACAACATTCAATAGATTTTACTTCTTAGCAGACATAGGTAGGATTACAGTATTGGTTGCAATCTTAAACACCTTTGCCTCAAAGCCCCACTGAACACAGACTGACTTGGCTATCTTCAAAGCAAACTGCACATTGCGGATTAGGGCTACAGAGAAAAAGGGATGGCTGATCCCGATTCTGTAAACAGTAGAGGATCTGAGTAACTGTGCTCCATCTTAGGACAAGAAGAAAGGAGACATGCTTTTCTGTTCCTGAACAGAAAAGTCATTTTGCTTAGCTTCCAATGTATAGAATCATCAGTAGAACTTGAACTCTTGTTCATACAAATTTGTGCCGTTTACTTGGTCCTAATCACAGCATTTTCCAAATATGGTGTGTGGATCCTTTCACACTTTGTCTGTGCTGGCCAAGAATAAATAAATGACACATTTAGGCTTTTACTTCAAGTCTTCTTGGTTTGTGATTTTTTAAGCATTTTCTTAACTCTGAGGATTGCTCCCTGAAAAGATAGCTGTTTTCAGAAGCAGGCCCAACGTCTATTGTTTAATTTGAGATTTTGTTCTGTTTTTTTTAGCAAGAAGCATAAAACAAAAGCAAAAAGACTAACTGCTATATTTTAATGTAAGCGTTCATGGAATATTGCCCACGAGAATTAGTCTCGGGTTTTCTTGGTAATGTTACTCCAGTTTATACTCTAAAATCTGTATGTGATTGAAAAACCAGTCAATCCAAGTTGAGAGATAGAAAAGATAACAGTAACTCAGAATAAGCACTTGAAAGGTTGTTACTATTTTTGGGACTACAGGTCCCAGAATCCCCCAGCCAAGATGACTAAGGGAATTTGGGAGTTGTAATCCAAAATATTAATCATGTTTTCAAACTGTCTATAATATGAAAAACAACAATGGAAACTTTGCACAATGTTTTTTTAAAAAATGAACACCAAACATTAATAGTTTTCTGGTTTGCTGATTCTCCTTGGGTTATCCAGACTGTTGTCTTCTGCTGTTCTCCTTCTATGCAACCTCTGACCTGAGATCGTCATGCAGGTGCTATTATAAAGTCACCTGAAGTGCCCCAAATCCCATTAGATTCCCAAGAGCGGCGAAATTGATGGTCAATAAGTACGAGCTTTCCACAACTCTCAGCCTTCTCCCTAAGATCCTGCTTGTTATCATCACCACTACCTTTGTGGGTGTTGTTATTGTCATTATTGTCATTTAAGTAAAATATCTTAAAGTGTAAGGGTTCCTTCGTTGCTTTGGAAATTAGCACCCTTGTGAATTTAAGAAAGTCACTAAATGCAAGGACTGGAGCAGAATTTCTTAAGGGAAGCAAGAAGTAAGACGGCAAAGAAGAAGAAGAAGAACACCAAGATGAAAAACGGCATTCTTCACTTTAGATTAGGGACAGAAAAAGCCCAGGGTCCGATTCTGTTCCCCCAGGACCTCCACGGGGTGCACTCCCCCCCCCACCAAATGCAAAGGTGTGGTCAGCTCTCCTAGTTCACTTTCAGTTTGGAAAATCGTGTGAGAAACACCCTGTCCTACCGCAGAGAGCGCTCAAGAGAGAGCCCTGCGACACTGTGTGCCCCAGGAGAGGATGCGATGCAGAGGCCTCTGGGAGCACCCACTGCTCTTCTAAGCCACCTTTCTGACAAGGAGCCCAGGTGGCACATGGGAGTGGCAGCAGTGGGTCGCTTGCTGCATGTTTCCATTCTTGAGGGGTGAGGGAAATGGGAAGCTAGGGGTGTGTGTGTGCGTGTGTGTGCGTGCGGCTGTTCTTGTCTGTTGGCTGGTAGAACCTGAGTGCCTGATGCCTGCTTTCCTCTTGCAGATGCTTGCGCTTGGAGGCAGCCACCCACAGGATGTTTGCCATCCATCCTTCCAATGCTTCCCAGGCACCACCTGCTACCCGCCAGGTAAACGTCTCCTCAAGCAACATGGGGCTGGAGAAGATGCCGGCAAATGATTCTTCTGCTGCTGCCCCCATTTTTTCGATGACCCTGGGTGTCGTCTCCAACATTGTGGCACTGGTGATCCTGGTACAGTCCTATGCCCGCTTCCGGCGTCGCTCCAAGGCCACCTTCCTGCTTTTTGCCAGCAGCCTGGTGATCACGGACCTTGCAGGCCATGTCATTCCGGGGTCTTTTGTGTTGCGTCTCTATGCCACAAGGCGCGGTTGGGCAGCCATGGACCCTTCTGGAGCACTCTGCCAGTTTTTTGGCGCCTCTATGGTGTTCTTTGGACTCTGCCCCCTCTTTCTGGGCTTCATCATGGCAGTAGAGCGCTGTGTGGGCATTACACGCCCTCTGTTGCACGCGGCCATAGTCACACCAAGCCGGACGAAACTTTCTCTGGTAGGGCTGTGCGCCACTGCCCTGGTCATTGCCCTGTTGCCACTCTGCACCCCTGGGAGCTATGCCATCCAGTCTCCAGGCACTTGGTGTTTCCTCAAGGTGCAAAACCCGACAGCCTGGCCTGAGATGGCCTTTGCCCTCCTCTTCTCCGTGCTGGGCTTGGCCTCGCTGCTAGCCTCCTTCCTCTGCAATACTTTCAGTGGATTTATCTTGGTGCGGGCCCGGCTCCGTGGACAGCGCAAATGTGGGCACCGGAGAGCCAAGCCCCATGACATTGAGATGGTTGTGCAGCTGGTGGGCATCATGGTGGTATCTTGCATCTGCTGGAGCCCTGTATTGGTAAGTGGGCTACAAGAGGGGAGACACTGAGGCAGCAGAAAGGGTAGACCTTCTGAGAGGGAGCTGCAACAGGAGTGTGAGGTTTTATGGTGTCCCTTGGTCTTTGAGTGCTCATGGGGTCCTAAGAGTGAGTGGGGAGAGTCAACGATCCCTGGGTTGCAGGAAGAGTTTCAATGAAGAATGGGGATGACTGGTCAAACAAGATGTCTTGCTAGGCAGAGATGGCAACCCCCAGGCTCTTGCACCAAATCCAGCTGAGTTTCCCCAGGTAGCCGTTCCATCCCTTCCCCTTGGTACTTGAAAATTAGTGGTTTCCTAGATTTTTCATGGGGTTTCCCCAATTCTGAAAGCCTGAAATGTTTCTCTGAAGGCTTTGGGTTTTTTTTTTTCTAATGGGAAGAACCCAAAGCTAAAATATGCCAGTATTTTCTTGTTTTTAGCTCCATCCATCACTGGATGGCCAACCTGAGATCTCAGGTTGACTTTCGTCCTTGGGCTGAAGGCATTTTCCTACCATTATCCTAGGGAACACCACCACCGCAGAGGTTGTGATGTTTATGCCACCCAGAAACCAAAGCAAAGGACCCGTGGTGCACACAGGCATCTCTGAAGCAGATTTGGTTGGTTCCAAGTTTTCAAAGGGTCACTGGACAAGGGGAGATAATAGGAATACATACGAGACCCTTCCAGCAATATCGGCTTCTCACTGTAATTCTTCCTTCTTCTGTTCCCAGATCTTTGTTATTTTGTCTGTGACCAACTCTCACAAATCCTTGAATTACGACCAGCTGCTCTTACGTGGGGTGCACATGGCCGCCTGGAACCAGATCCTGGACCCTTGGGTCTATATCCTGCTACGGCGTGCAGTGCTGCGCAAGCTCCTTGCCATCTTTCTGAGGCGGCCTGTACCCAAGGGGGTCTACTTCGGCCGCTGGGAGGCCAGCTCTTTCCAAAGCTCTGAGCGGAGCGTTGCTGCTGGGCGTTTCTAGAGCCAGCTGGAGCGACCAAGAGAAGCCCTGTTCTCATGACCTCTTGAGGGAAGGAAGGTGTTTTGCACATTCGCCCGCCTTTGCCAAATGGTCTCCCTGGGATAGCCAGGCCCTTTGTGATGACTCAACAGCCAAAAGGGCCGTCTTGGTTCACCCTGGAACAAGAGAGTGGTTGTGGGATCCCGGGCTGCGGAGCAGAGACGTTCCCTCACTTGTCAACGTATTTCTACGAAGGAAGAACACGGATGTTCGGAGGAGGCTCATTAAGGAATTGTGGCGAACCTTTGCAAGGAGAGGCCTTTGTTTAGTAGTGATGGTTGGTGGTGGTAGAACATGTGCCTGACATGGCAATGACCCATGTTTAGTTCCCGGCACTGTCAGATAGTCGGGGGCTAGGAAGGCCTTATGCCTCAGACTCTGGGAAGCCACTGGTGCTCAGAGGAGACCATCCGGAGCAAGATGAACCAGTGGCATGACTCAGGAGAGGAGAGGAGCCATGAGTCAGCGCCTGCTGAACGCACGGCACACTTCCTGGAACACACGGTGCAATGGGGGCTGCGGATTTTGCTAGGAGGGCCATAGTCCAAAGTGGGAGGGTGCTGGTGGTCCAGAGCATGGGGGCTGCCTACGACCCCCTTGTAGGGATCAGCTGCACTAGCTCAGAAGCATAAGGTTTGTTCATGAGCCTAATTCTCAGGCAATGTGATGTGTGATCAAAAAGGAGATCTTTTAGTGGCATGGTACCTTGCCTCTTTCCGTTCAGGTGGTTCATCATTAATAGCTGCAGAGAATGGAATACTGAGTCTTGGATTGACTCCTCGGTCTTGCAGCCACCTTCTGCTGCATTTTGGTGTTGGATACTGCTTTGCAGCTTTTCATAAAATGCTGCAGGGGAACTTGGTCCAAGAGGAAGTGTAGCCTCCCTGACACTGATGACCAGGAGCTGGGTAGATGTCAACTATGATGGAGAGAGCACTTCTTGGATGCAGGGCTGATGGCGGCTTCGGTGCCTTTTAGCTGAGAGGCAAAGGTATGCATTCCACGAAGCCCCGGCATAGGTAGGCTGGATGGCGGATTGGAAACGTGAACTCCAATAAGATACTTGGGTGTAGCCTCCCGGATGCTGGACTTTTGAGAAAGCTCCTTTCCGAGTCAGGTACTGAAAAGCAGATTCCAGGGATATTGCTCCCATAGGGAAAAAAAGTGTGCTGAGTGTCTGATCGATCTTGCAGTGCCTGGTTATAGTGCGGACAGGGCAAGGGGCAAAATCCTGAGACAGATTGCCTACAAGGCCTGTATTGTGGGAAGAGCTGGCTCGTATTCTGAGATGCACCGATTCACTAGCGCTGGACGCTTTGCGTACAATAAACCATTTCTGTGGTGCATTCTGTCTGATGGTGCTTCATTGTCTTTATGCCAGGGATCGCCAACTCCTGGTCCATGGCCGTGTACCGGTCCGTGGCCTTGGCAGGAATGGGCCACGGAGACAGATCTCCCACCTACCCCAGACGCACACACACACTGCATGCACATATACCCCCTGCCCCCCAGATGTACTACACACACACATGCACAAATGCACCCCCCACATGCTAAACCAGTCCACAGGATCAAAAAAGGTTGGGGGCCACTGCTTTATGCCACTCAGTCCCAACCCCTGTGCTGTCAGTTGTTCTATCAGCCGTGATGCATCTGGTTGACAGAGCTCTCCGTTTATCCTTCAGTACGCCAAGCCTTCACCCTGCCATTTCTCTGCTCTGCCTCTTGTCACCTCTTCCTGGAAGAGAAGTTTGACCTATGGGACTGCTGCTCATGCCGCAGTGATTAAATCGCTGTACTGCAGCCCAAACTGTGCTCATGACCTGGGGTTCAATCCCAGGTAGCGGCTCAAGGTTGACTCAGCCTTCTATCCTTCCAAGGTGAGTAAAATGAGTACCCAGCTCGCTGGGGGGGGGGACAATGTGTAGCCTGCATAATTAACTTGGAAACTGCCTAGAGAGTGCTTGAAGCGCTACGGGATGGTATATAAGCAGCCCACTTTGCTTTTTGCTTTGCTGGTCCAGAGCGTGTGTGAATGGACCTCTAAAAACCCGGCGGCAATCTGGCCAACAGGCCCAATAAAAGAAAGAACGCGTGGTGATCATTATGCATTGAGTAATACCTTTTCTAGATGACATAAAAAGTAGAGCAAGACGACCTTTTGAGTTGCGTGGAACTCCTTTTCAGGTGCAGGTGGTGCAAAATGTAGGAAACTGGAAGGGAAGCAAAAGGCCCAGCAGAAGAAGAAAAAGATAACAAAGATGACGAAAAGCTGACCCGATAGAATGGCTGTTCTTGGAAGCAGCTTTTCTTGGAAGAGGGATTCTTATGGATTCACTCCAGAATAGATGGGAATAGCTGGGAGAGAGGCTGGCACTCTGTCTCTAAACATTATGACTGCATCTGAAATCAGATCCCATAGTGTGGTCCCAGCTATTCTACACAACTCAAGGCAGCACACACACACACACAGACACGGCAGCTTTGAGGTTGTACTGCTTAGTAGCTTTATTATAGAATTCCCTTCCAGCATAAGTGGTGTGTAGTGTCCATTCAGTGGATTGCCAGAGGTCCCTGTCACCTGTTAGCACAAACTAGAGATCAGCCGTCCTCTTGGAAGAGTCTGGAGGCTCCAAATACTTAACTCTGCAACAAGGTTGGAAAGGGGCAAATGGAAAGGGGCAAACTGGCTGGCAAAGCAGGGCTGGGTGGCCAGCAGAAGGCTGATCCGCCAGTTCCTTCTACACGGGAAGCCATCAGAAGACAAGTGTGGCAAGGAAGACGAGCCAGCTTGGGAGTGTCTCTGAGATGAGACACAGGGGGATAAATGGACATATTTACATTTTGCTTTTGACCTTTGAGAGGCATCTGGCAGGGGCTTCGCTGGAAAGAGAATGCTTTGATCTGATCCAGCATGGCCATTCCTTAGTCCTTACGTCAGCCACTTGGGTTTTGACTTCCCCTCGTGGCTCCCACAAGTATTGCCTTAACCGCCCAACAACAAGATGAACCACGTTTCCCTGGAAGACCCAGGAGGAGGTGGTCTTGGCACCAGGCCTTGCCTGTTAAAATTCAGCATATCGGGTGTATCTCTAGGAGCTTATGTTCTGCATATAAGGGTGAGGGCAGGCTCTCGGGCCTCAAGCACCACTTCTCACATGAATGAGCACAATAGCTATCAACGTACAGGGCCAGCAGCTCCAGCGAAACTCAAATCAGTTGTAGAGATCATCATCGCCCTCCTCCTGGAAAAGGCCTCCTTGGCCACTGCCACTGCCGCCTCCACTGCTGCTGCCGCCTCCACCACTGCTGCCCTGCTTTCCAGAAGGAAACCTGTGGACAAAAAAAAAGTGTACTGCGAGCCCAGCAGAAACAGGCTGTTATTTCTGCCTAACAAATATGGGGCCCGATCCAGTTACATTCATGGATAAATGCAAGGTCTTAGTAGCCAGCTGGTTGTGGAAGACAGTGTATGGGGAGGTACACTGGAATGCATACGGTTTAAAGCCAGGCAATGCAGAAAGACACCGCTCCCCTCTGATGCACTTTCTAACACACTTCTGAATGCTGACCGAAAGGACATCCACAGCTCCCAGCTTGCACAGGTGCCTGCACCTAAGGCTGTAGGGGCCTGCGGACAGCGAGACTGAGGATCCGCTGCTTTGTGGATGATCTTCAGTTGATTTTAGATGGCGCACGCACATTGCATTTACTCTGGCCCCTCTTTTTGACATTCAGGGCATGAGTGTACCCAAAAATGGCATCATCCATGCATGGAGAGGGTAAAGCAGCTTTGTGGGGTGGGGAAGAGGGGACACCTAAGGTTTGCAGAAATACAAAATACAATATCATCATCATCATCATCCCAAGAAGAGGGAAACCTTCCAGATAATCTAATAGAAACTTAGTGTCCTCGATGGCCACAGAGTTCTGAACAGCTATTGAAGGAACCGTGGAAAACTGTTTTGGGAGAAAGAATGGACGATGGGATGTTATCATACAAATGGGGAGCTCTACTGCAGTGAACAACAAATGAGTAATAACACTTCTCACTGGGGTGAGAAAACCTCTGGGATCCTGAGGGCAGGGTGGAGCTGTGGTTCCCTTTGAAAAGGAGGCTGCCGTTCCCCCTTCCACAGCGTCCAGAGGAGAGAAATGTTTCCCTTCAGACGCCCAGGATTACCTGAAGTTGCCAAAGCCACGGCTCTGTTGTAACGTCTGGGCAAACATCTCGTACTTGCGTATGTCATTATCACTGACCGAACGGCGTGCGAAGCGCATTGCTTCCTCAAAGTGGTCACGTCGAATCTCTGGTACAGGGTCGTAATCATCATCCTGTTTCAAAAGGCAGGAAGACAAGCAGTCATGGGGTGCCCTCTTGATCTGCACAGCCTCCCCCCCAGGAGACCAGGGCCATGGAGGAGACTGTAGGCCTTGAGGTGGGCAACGAGGGGGGAGGGATCTGGCCAGGCCCTACAGAAAGTGGGGAAGCCCTGTTCCCATACCATGGCAGCATATTTATGACGCTGGCGTTCCCGCTCTGCTTTGATCTCCATCTCAATGGCCTCACGGATGGCAAGCTTGCAGGCACGCTGGCAGATTTCTGTGAGATCTGCTCCCGAGAAGCCATGTGTGATCTTCGCAAGGTAATTCAAGTCCACATCCTGTTGGAGAAAGGCACACACAGTCTTGACAACAGTGCATTGCCATCACAAAGGACTGTCCTCCCACCAGCAGGGGGCACGTCTCTCTCATGCCGTATGCACTTCTTGGAAGGCACATTGGTGGACTGGGGGGGGGCTGGGGCTAGACTCAGAATCCAGCCCTCAATTTCAGCACCTCTTTCTCTGTCTTGAAATTTCTACCCCATTTGCAACTCTGCCTCAGCTGACCTTGGCGACAGGCGACTTTCGCAAGTTGGCTTGGAGGATAGCTACGCGAGATTTCTCATCAGGCAAGGGGATGTAGATCAGCTGGTCCAGGCGCCCTGGGCGGAGGATGGCCGGGTCAATGATGTCTGGTCTGTGGACCAAACAGGCAGGTTAATTCAAGACTCATATGAAGGCTTCCTCCAGTGGACTCCACATCCCAGCTCTGGAAGTGCACAGGCAGAGGGGAGGGGAGTTATTTTGAGCCTTTCCCAGACAACTGCATTTTAGATGAACCGCAACTCCCTCCAACTTCTAGCTAACTGGTTCATGCTAATTGGGGATAATGGGAATTATAGTCCAGTATACCTGAAGGCTATCCTGTTGGAAACAGCTAGCGTAGTATTATTTTTACTCATCTAGCACCAGCAGCTTGTCTCCAAAGAACTGCTTTTGACTGAACTTCCTCCCCACCCAAAGAGGTTTAGCTGAAGCCCCTCCCTTACTGCCTTAGACCTTAGCAGTGCAAATGGAAACATAACCTCACAGTTAAGTGAGCACTGAGACTTGTAAATAAATAACTTACTTATTTTTGTACTCTCGAAGGCTTTCATGGCCGGGATCTGATGGTTGTTGTGGGTTTTTTGGCCTCTTTGGCCGTGTTTTGAAGGTTGTTCTTCCTAACGTTTCACCAGTCTCGGCCGGCATCTTCAGAGGACAGCACTGAGTGGCTGGCATCTTCAAGAGTGCTG